CTGAGCGCCAGTGAGTTTTGCCCGGGTTGCTGGCTGATGTGATTCCCCAGAGGAGTACGTGGCAGGGGCCCGGGTCAAGAGAGCAGGTCAGACCTGGCATCCTTCCCACAGCCAGGGCCGGTGGCGGCCCCTGCAGAGCCGTGGGCAGTCACCGTCTGTTTCATGTTGAACTTTATGAGAAGAGGCTGGCCTTTCTGGGAGGAGGCAGGGGGAAAGTGGGGGGGGGGGGCGGGTAGAGAAGTCTTTGTTCCATCAAAAATTCCTCCTCCCTTTGGCCCTGCCCTCCTCTGTAATCATAAACAGTGTTGGAATAAGTCCTTCCAGGAAGCGGCTCCTCACTGCTGAGCAGAGAGAGCTGCCCGCTGGCCCGTCTTCCCCTCCCTGCATCCACTGCCTCTTCACCCCTGCCCTGCAGGTCACTTCTCTGCTCTGCCCGCAGGAGGGCAAAACCACCAGGCTGGGCTGTGCAGAGGGACTGGGGGGTTTCTCCTCCGGAACACAGGCCTCAGCTTCGTGGTTGGGGACACACTTACGGAGAGACAGACAGCAAAGGGCAGCCAAGTGTAGCTTTGTGGCAAAGCCTGCCGGGCCTAGTCCTGCTCCTCACACGCTGGAAGCTCTTTGGCATGTCCTGCTCCTTCCCCGTGCCACCTCCGTTTCCCCATCTGTTAAATGGGTTGATGATATTCCTTGCCCCACAGGGTTATGGGGAGAGTTGAGTGGGAGCCTGACAGGCCATGGTGGTGCCTCAGAAACGTCTGCCCTCTTTGCTTTTTCCTCTGTTCTCTACCAGCAGCACCTGCAGAGCTTCTGAGGCCTTCCTCTATCTTTCTTGGTTCCTCTCTGAAAATTCTAGAAGGTGAAGACACCTAACGCAGTCTCTTTTTTGGCTGCCACCTCCCCCCCCACCGGGGATAGTGAGCCCAGCCTCTACCCAGGCCCCCTCCCATCTTCGGAGCTTTCCTCCTGTGATTTCTACCCCCTGGTCTCAGCCCCAGAGTCTGCCTCACCCAGAATGCAGCTGTTACCAGCTCCAGCAGAAAATCATCCTGAAGTTGCTGATGGTCAGTGAGCCCCTGCAATGCCCAGCCACCCAGCTAACATCTTCATAGGCATGAATGCATCCCATCCTTCCAGCAGCGCTGGGGGGTGGGCCCTTTCCATCCTCCTAGTGTTCCAGAGGAGGAAACCAAGGCACAGAGAGGTGGAGACACTGATGGAGGGTCCCCCAGATCGTCCCAGGCAGAGGTGGAATGCCATCACCAGCATCTGGCCATGACATCCGTGGTGTGGGCCACATCCCATGTAGTGGGGAGTCAGAGCAGGGCCCTCCCAGGGTGGGAATGGTGTGCTGAGGACCTCTGGTCCTGCAGGAGGCCGGAGCCCCCGTCCCTGGGCCCTGCCCAGCAGTTCACACTCCGTGATGGATGGCTCCAGAAGGCTGGTTTTCTAATTACTTGGTGTTGTGGTGTTTCCCGACTACCCCCCCCCTCCCCGCTCCTGCCTCTCATCCGCCTGCTTCAGTCTTGGGGCACACTCTGTATCATCTTTCTCGTGTGGGTTTCCTTCCTGCTCATTTCTGAAGCAGAGACTCTTTGGGAACCGAATTGTTGCCCCCCCGCCCCAGATCCTCACCCTTCACTCGGCTGAGTGCCCCCTCCCTCTGATGCCTGGCCCCCGCTTTGCCCCAGTTGCAGGACCTGTCAGTTTCAGAATCCAGCAGCCTGTGGAGCCAGATCCCAGAGTGGGCCTGGCTGGCGATGGCCCCCAAATTGCCTCTTTCAATCAAGGAGTCTCAAATCCTACCACTGGTGAGGCCCCCCAGGCCTCCCTATCATTCCCTTCTGAATGGAGGTGCCTTGGTGAATGGAGACACTAGGGAAGAGTTCACGCAGTACTTCTTTCAGGATTACTGAGGAAGGGAGGCCACAGAAGCTGGGGTGGCTTAGATGCCGTGCGTTCCAGGCACCAGGTAGGAAAGGTGGCCCCGGGAGGGGTTAGAGGGCTCACTGCACACCCACATACACTTTGAGACCAACAGAGCTCAAAGTGCCTTCAGAGGCGTAAGTAAGAGGCCCTCTACTGCAATTTGACTGGAGCCTGGACGCTGACTACACGCTGAGCGCTCCCCTTGGCATGATGAGCCGCTCTCACAGACCTGCCAGTGCTGAGAGCCAGCCCTGCCTTAGAGCTCAGACTGAACCTCCTTCCCAGGATATCATGGCTGCCAGGAAGGCCAGTAAAAGACATTCGGCAGCAGACCCAAAAGATCAGGGCAATATTCTTGTCACTTTCTAGATTTAGATTTACATACTCAGCACATATGTCCCTTTTCAGTGTTTTGCCTGAAATTCTAGTAGGCTGTCACCAAGTGGTGGTACTGGCTCCTGGAAATAAGAGACATGATTCCCGAAGGAAGCAGTTATCACTTTTATATGCTGCTGTTGTTCTGTATTAGTAAATCATAATAATAGCTAACACTGCTGTTTTATGTATTGGGCACTGTCCTAAGTGTTTCCCACGTATTATCTCGGTTAATCCTCGGAACAGCTTTATATGGTAGTTCCTGTCATTATCCTTGTGAAGTAACTTGCCCAAGATCACAAAGCTAGGATTTGGATCCAGAGTATGGGCGCTTAACCTTTATGCACTCCTTCATTAATGGGCAATTACCCAGAGAAACACTCCTGTAGAAACAGATCACCTCGTAGCCCAGAGCTGCTTAAGCATAATGGCACATGGATTCCCTGGGGCTCTCAGTAAGATGCAGATTCGGATTCAGTAGATCTAAGGTGGAGCCTGAGAGTTTGCATTTCTTTCTTTCTTTTTTTTTTTTAAAGATTTTATTTATTTTTATTTGAGAGAGAGAGAATGAGAGAGAGGGAGTACATGAGAGGTGGGAGGGTCAGAGGGAGAAGCAGACTCCCTGCCGAGCAGGGAGCCCGTTGCGGGACTCGATCCAGGGACTCCAGGATCACGACCTGAGCCGAAGGCAGTCGCTTAACCAACTGAGCCACCCAGGCACCCCGAGAGTTTGCATTTCTAACAAGCTCCCAGGGAATGCTGCTGATGCAGTCTAGGACCCATACTTTGAAGAGTCCCAGCGTAGAACCTGTGTTTAAGCCCGTCTCAGACCCAGAGCCTACAAGCATCAAGGACAAGACATCAATGCGGGGAGCCGCTGGTTGGAGTGGAGAGGACCTTCCTCGGCCCCAGCTGATGGTCACCACTGAGATTTCCGGACCGATGTGGTCGTAGTTCTATGGGACATCTTCCATTTTCAATACTGGGGTAACGAATCCAACTTTATAAAACACCCTGCAGCTTGTACATGAATGTTCATAGCAGTATTATTCATAGTGGCCAAGAATTAGAAACAACCCAAATGCCTATTATCTGATGAATGAGTAAATAAAACATGGCGTGTCCATACAATGGGGTATTATTTGGCAACAAAAGGGAATAAAGTACTGATAGGTGCTACTACCTGGATGAAGGTTAAAAGCATTACACGGAGAGAAGAAAGCCTGGCCCGAGAGGACAATTATTGTATGATTCCTCTTAACGGACTAGCTACAACAGGGAAATCTATAGACTGGTGGCTGCCCAGGGGGTGGGGAGGGTGAGAAGGTGGAGGTAGTCTGTCTGAGTGACTGTTAATGGATACACGGTTTCTTTCCGGGGAGTATGACAGAATGTTCTAAAATTAGCTTGTAGTGATGGTTGTTAAACTCTGTGAGTATACTGAGACCTATTGAATTGTATACATTATACGGGTGAAATGTGGAGATGTGAGTCCTGTGTCACTAAAGCTGTTTAAAACAAAAACACCATGCAAGAGAGAACCAGTCTCTTTAATAGATAAAGCGCAGTTACAAATCAACAAGAGAAATAACAAACCGCAGCAGAAAAAAGATCACAAAGGACACACACCAACGCTTAACAAAGGAAACATGACGGTTCTTAAATGCATGGGGAATTCTCCGTTGCTCGTAATAAAAGGCATACACGTCAAAGCCGCTCTGAGATTTTCTACCTCTTAGATTGGCGATGGTGGAAACTTCTGGCAAGCAGACGGGTCATTACTTTGGTGCCCCTGCAGTGTGGTGAGGCAGGAGCCAACTCGTCATTACTTTTCAAAATTAAAAGTGCACACACCCCGCAGTTTTGTTTTTGAGAATTTATCCCACAAATGTCCTCTCCCTTGCGCAAAATGTGATACACACACCCACGCAATTCTTCACTGTAGCACTCGCTGTCTGTGATAAGAGCTCAAGAGTGCACCCACCCAGAGGCTCCGTCATGGCGCCTGGCAGACACGGGACCTCGCGGAGACTCCATGCTGGTATAGCTGTTAAGCGCAAGTCAGTAGGTCTGTGTGTCCTGATGCAGGGAAGAGATATGTCATTATGCATCTCATAATACTAACATGCCCGAGAGAGATTATGAAAACAGGGAAGGCGTAGAACCGAGCGTAATGAGGGTCAGGGATGTGTGTGCATCCGCGTATGCTGCGTGTGTTTATAAATGGAGAGACCACCTCCGGGCTGGGGTAAGGAAATGAAAATGGCCTCCAGGAAGGGAGCTGGTGGCCAGGCCCCGGGGGAGGGGAGACACCCCTTCACTGCACCCCAGACTGCATACTTGGGCCCGTGTTGCCTTGCCAGCGACCATGCACACCACACCACCGGGGGGCGGGGGCTGGAGAGCACCTGTGTGCAGGTGCATGGGACCCCTAGATGCCTTTTATGCCGTGAGTCAGAGAAGTTGTTCCTGGCCACTGTCATGTACTTTGCTCCCTGAAATCTAGAAAAGATGTGTATCGGGTCTCCCAGCCTTGGGATTCCCGTGCGTGCTCTGGGGGCGGCCCTGGTGTTCTCTGGCTGGGGACGAAAGGCGCCTTCCCCCCCGCCTGCACGGGGAAGACTGTGGGGACCCTGTAGGGGCATCATTTTGGCCTGGTGGACCCCAGTGCCCTGTGTTTGCTTCCTGTCCTGTAGGCACGTCCCAAAGGCGAGGGTCTGACCCCGTACCAGGGCAAAAAACGCTGTTTCGGCGAGTACAAGTGTCCCAAGTGCAAGAGAAAATGGATGAGCGGGAACTCGTGGGCCAACATGGGGCAGGAGTGCATTAAGTGCCACATCAACGTGTATCCACACAAGCAGGTGAGCCGGGCGGGGCTGGGGGCTGGGAGGCAGCGGCTGGAGGGGCTCTCTGAAGGGTCTCGGGGCCGATTTTATTCCTTATTGGGCCTCAGTTTACTCCTGCATGTGACAAGGATGAGACCAGATCTCTCCAAGTTGGCCCTTTGCTGGTCTCCTCTGAAATGGGAGTGAGAGAGCACCATTTTCCCGGGAAGGGAAGGAGGTTCAGCAAGACCCTGAGACCGCAGACCTAGGTGAATTCTGAAACTGATGAGTGGAGGTGCTACTGCGGGATGAGCGGGGATGTGGGGCAGCTGGGCACTGCGGAGAACACGCGTCTTGTTCATTTGTTCGCCCAGTTGCCTCATGTACACAGGGCAGCTCCAGTGTTCCAGGCACCGTGCGTGGGGCTAGCGGCCAAGGTGCACATGGGCATGCTGGAGGGTAGGGGGCAGACGTGGTGAGGCAGCTTGTCCCACGGAGGATCCACTCACTGCAGGCTGCAAAGAGGAGGTCTGTTTACTCTGGGACCTGGAGGATGGGAGGAAGCCAGACCTGTCACACGTGGGGGGACAGCAATCTTAAGAAGACCGTACAGTTGGTGCAAATGCCCTGTGGCCTTAAGGACTTGGGTGCTCAAAGCCTAAACCTCAGTGAAGGATCAGGAGAACCAAACAAGAGGAATGGGGTGGGAAGCTGAATGGGGTGCTTCCCAGCCTTGGGGGCCACTCAAAACCCACAGCAAAGAGCTTTCAGCTTTATTTTGAGATGACTATTCTGATGTATGCAGAGATTAGTCTTAGTGCAGCTGGGTGCTCAAAAGTAAGGAGACCAGTGGGAAAGTCATGGCTAAAGTCCCGTGCATGCTGGGAAAAGAGCTGGCCTTGGACCTGGGTTGGACACAAAGTGTCACCGGTTGGATGTGGAAGGTGAGGGAGGGGCAGGAATCCATGAGCACAGTCACACCTGAGTGGATGGAGATGGGCTTACTGGGGTGGGCAGCCTGGGCTGGAGGCAGGGCAGGGTGAGACCCAGGTGTCCCAGATAAAAGCAAGAGTTCTCTGATACACATGTTACATTTGAGATGTGCCTGGAAATCTAAGTTGAGATGTCAAGAAGTTGGATTTGTTATGTTGCAGCTCATATGAGAAGTCATGGTGGCTCCTACATACTTGGGCATCATTGACCTTAAGGTATTTAGGGAGTGGATGAGATTTCCTGCAGAATGGAGACAAAGTGGAGACAAAATTCCCCAGACCATGTGTTGCAGAAGCCCAACACTGGGGGGTCAGATGGAGGAGAAGTCCATCAAGGAGGAGCATGGAGGAGCATAGAGTCCTGGGGTCGGGGCTGTGCCATCTGAGGGGACAGGTGTGGTTGGTGCAGAGATGTCAGCTATCATGGCCGTGGAAAAGTGCCCTTGGGATTTGGCACTAAGGAGGTGGTCCTCAAACTTCATGGGGCACCACTCTGACGTGGAGATCTTGTTGAACTGCATCTCGGCTCTGCGAGCCACGAAGCTGATGCCCTGCAGGTCAGGAGTGAGGGCAGAGTGGGGATGTGGGTTCACGGGACCTGCTGGCTGGGGCAGTGGCTGCGGAGCCATGACCGGGGAGGGAGGGGTTTGTGGGGCTGGGCTGCAGAGGGAATACCTTCACTGTCCTCTTCCTCGAGGGGCTTTGACTGTGGAGAGCAGCAGGGCGATGGGGCAGTCGCTGCAGTAAGACAGGTGGCATTGAGGCGGGTATGATGGAGATGGGAAGGCCTGGAGCACGTTACAGGCAAATGAGGAGCCAGAAGGAAGCGAAAGTTTGATGATATAGGCAGGGGAGGGTGATGCCTTACCGTGGGCTCAGGGGGGCGGGACGTGGCGGGTGGTTAGGGAGGTTGGTGGGTTTGCTGGTGCAGAGAAGAGGAGCTTCCCTTCCAAGGCTTCTGTCTTCTCAGGGAAATGGGACAGGAGGTTTTCAACTAGCCATGAGGGTGAGGAGGGGTAGGTGGCCTTGGGGAAGGACGAAGGAGGAAGTGGGCCTCCTGGAGAGATCAAGCTGCATCCCCGGCGCTGGGAGGTGTGTGAGGTCATAACTCTCACCCGCACTGCCAGCCTGGCTCTGTGACTTGCCCCAGCGGGGGTCACGGGGCAGATGCGGCCCAGAGTCTGGGGACAGCGGCACAGGGCAGAGGTTCACCTTCCGAGGGAAGAAGGCTGAAGAGTTGGTGTATTTGCAAAAGTGTGATGGTGCGTGATCCTGGGGAGCCAGGGGGTTCCTGATGGGCAGGGAGGTGGAGCGGGGGGCCTGCACTGGGTGGGGCGGCACAGGGAGCAGGGTTCTGAAGAAGACCGAGTCTGGGGTGCGGCCAAGGGGACGGTGGGAGAGGTCATGTTGATGACATCGTGGGGGCACTGAGGAGCCAGGGCTGGGGCCAGTCCTCCTTGTGGAGGCTGAGTCACTGAGAAGGATGGTGGGAGCAGTGGCGGGGGGGTGGGGCAGAGGCAGGATGGAAAGGGAGGTGGGCTTTGGGGCTCTTGGGGAAGGCTCCCCTGAGGCACTGATGTTGGCTGAGCTCTGGTGGAGGGTGGAGGGGGCTGCAAGGGAGTGGCCGAGGGGGAGGGGACAGCGTGTGCAAAATGGGGAGGCCAGGGTCAGGCACAGAGCACTGGGGGCGCTGAGAGATGAAGCAGAGGTTGGAGGTGGGGTCCCAGCTGCATGGGGCTGGCTCAGAGGCTGTGGCCTGGAATTTGGTCTTTATTCTACTAGGAGCACGGGGGAGCCTTCTGAGCAGATTCTCGTGGTGGAAACATTTTGTAATTTCATGCCCCTCATGCTGGCTTCCACTGCCTCTGTTTGCAGACCCTCCCTCCCCACCCCCCCAACCGCCCCCGAGGGTCTCTGTGGTTCCCATCAGCCACACTGTGGTACACGGACAAATAGACTCAAAGCTGGCCATGGCGATTCGGTGGACGGGGGTCTCCTGAGTGGCAGGCCCCGGCCCACATCCTAATGGCGTCGAGGGGGAGACTGAGGCCCAGCAGTGCCAGGACAGGCCTGATGACCCAGTGGGTAGGCCCGGTGTTTTAGGAGCATGTCCAGGCTATGGGGCCAGGGGTGGGCAGTTTAAAGGAGACACGGTGTCCTGGTTCCTGATTTCCTGCCAATTCCTGAGAAGGTCTGAGACCCCAGTCCAAAAACCCCTTGCCCACTCTGTCAGACTAAGAGCACACTCCCCTTTGGGTTGCACTCTGCTCTCCCAGGGCCCCTTGGGCATGGCCAGTGCCATTCAGCGGGATTCATGGCTTCTCTCACTGGGCGCACTTCGTCAAGGGCTCCTCAGGACCCAGATCTGAGTAGGTGCTGAAGGAGGACCAAGTTCCAGGGCTGCCAGGCCTTCCAACAGGAGAGACAGGAGCCTGTTAGCAACTGGTGCCTGGGGCAACCCTGGCCCGCATCATCCTCTGGGTGCCGTTTGCTGAGCAGCCCCCACACCCTTCCTGCGTACTGTGTGCTCAGACCCGGTGTTCTGTTCGTCCCCCTTCTACAGGGAGAACAAGCAGGGCCCTGAGAAGCCACGTGGTCTTCCCAGGGTCCGCAGGAGACAAGTGGAGTTGCACTTGCAGCTGTGTTTGGAGACAGTCTGTTGAAGTGTGGGGAGCCCAGGCCTGAGGCTAGGCAGCCATCAGTATGTGTCCCCGCTCAGCCGCACAGGCTTGGGGGTGCCGGAGCAAAGGGCTCAGCGTGCTCCCAGGGCGGGAGAGAGGAGGCAAGGCCGCAGGTGCATCCCCGTGAAGGGAGAGGGCAAGAAGGGAAAAATCGTACCAGTACTTGATACCTCTTAGCTACCCCATGCGGTCAGCTCTATTGGTTTCCCATTGTACAGAGGGAGAAACTGAGGCAAGGGGCGTAAGTGACTTACCCAAAGTCAGTAGAGAAACTGGGATTCGTGAAGAAGGATCAAGTTTGGGGCCAGAGCGGGAGGGCAGCAGGGGGGCCAGGTCATGGTGGCGGGCTGGGGAGGGGAGTCGGTAAGGCCCCATTTCCTGTGGGGGCTCAGATGTACAGGGGCTTGGGTGTGTGCTGGGGGTCTGCGAGCCTTGGTGCTTATAATGCTCACACCCTCTGCAACCCAGGCAGGGAGGCAGTGCACCCTGACGCTCAGGCTCAGCCTCTGTGTAGGTACCCAATCCGGAAGGATCTGAGAATATGCGGCTCTGCTCGTCCCCTCTTGCAGTCAGACAGCCCTATTTGTTGAGCCCTATTGCATGCAGCCGGGAGACTAAGGCCCAGAGAAATGAGAGGGCTTGAGCAAGGCTCCTCGGCCTGGCGATGTTAAGGGGGCCTAGGACCCAGTTTCCCACCGCCTAGCCCCTCTAGTCTCCTCTCCTGGACTCCGCGTGCTTCTCTCCTGGCCTTTCTCCCTCAGGGAGATTACAGGCTGGGTGGGGAGGGGGTGCCCCCACCCTACTCCCCAGCAATCAGGGGCCTTTGAAGAGCTGAGAGGAGGACTTGGGAGTCCCCACCCCCTAGCCCCCCGTGGTGGAGAGGGGCTGCTTTATTTCTCCTGCTCCAACCCCCCCCCCCCCCCACCGAGCTCTGACCTGTGCTGCATCCATCCCCTGAGAACCCTCCACTTTCCCTCTCCTCCCTCCCCTGCCACATCTGTTTCCCGTCAGGCTCCAGCTGCAGCCCCTGCCCCCCATGAGAAGAAAACACTGAAGGGCTCTGCCTCCCTGCTGGGGGTGGGGACGGCCCTGGGGTGATCTATCCCAGCAGCTGGATGTTTTCCTTCGGTGGAGGGGAGTCGTCCTGACGGCCTCCCCTAGCTCCTCCACTCAGCGGAGCCCAGACCCGTGGAGGGCAAGGGCACGGATGGGGTCACGGCCAAGGAGGAGGGATGGTGAAGATATTGCAGGGGCATTTCCCCGGGGACTCAGCTAGCTCCCTGCCCCTAGCCTGCCCCCAGCCCTCCATAATACTAACGATAGTAGCGATAATACATGCTATTAATACTGGCCAGCACTTTGCATGTATGATCTTATTTACTCTTCACAAACACCTTATCAAGTAGGTACTCTTAGTAACCCCATTTTATAGAAGAGAAAATTGAGGCACAGAGAGGTTAAGTAACTTCTAGAGGTCACACAGCCATTATTAAGTCTTACAGAGCTCTTGAAGGCTAGTAAGTGCTTTAAGACAGTCGTCTCAGTTCCTGGTCTCTCCATCAGGCACACAGTATATGTTACTAAGCTCCCACCCAGGTTACGGAAGGGTGCGTTGAGGTTCTAGAGGAGAAAGCTCTTACCCGGCAGCCCTGGGTAGATTGGTGAAGCTGCAGTCCCTTGGGCAAGACCCTTACTGTCTTGGAGCCTTGGTTTCCTTGTCTGTAAAAAATGAGGAGAGTGGGCGCCTGGGTGGCTCAGTTGGTTAAGCGACTGCCTTCGGCTCAGGTCATGATCCTGGAGTCCTGGATCGAGTCCCGCATCGGGCTCCCTGCTCGGCAGGGAGTCTGCTTCTCCCTCTGACCCTCCTCCCTCTCATGTGCTCTCTCTCATTCTCTCTCTCAAATAAATAAATAAAATCTTTAAAAAAAAAAAAATGAGGAGAGTAATATGCCTCTCGCAGCGAGGTTGTCAGGTTAGGTGGTAGGGTTTGCGTGGCAGTGCTTTGTGGGGTGTAAACCATGGGGGGCAGGGGTGGCGTGGGGCCTGCCGACTCTGGTCTCTGTGGCCCCACCTGGAAGACAGGTTCAGGGAGGCGCCCTGGCCAGCATGGAGAGCTGGAAACCAGGCCAAGTTTGATTGATCTGGGGGAGGGGAGACTTGAGGGTCGCCTCTCTCAGACCTATGGGAGTGTGTGGCCCTTGTGTGGAGGTGATAATGAGAGTGGAGGGATGGGGAGCCAGATTTCAGCTCCAGGTCAGGAAGCCCTTCTTACAGCCAGGCTGCTCGGCTGCCAGGGAGCTCCCCAGCCCCAGCTTGCAGGCCGTGCCCATGGGTTGTTGTTGGTCTTCCTGAGATGTCTGGGAGAGCAGGTCAGGGGGTCTTCCTGGGCCTTCCAGCTTGAAATCACCGCCTCAGTGCCCCTTTCCTTGGTGGTGCGCCCCCCCCCATCAGTAATCATAACAAGCTATACGAAGAGCTTTTGTCTGCTCTGCTCTTTCTTTCCATTGAGTTGTAACAAGGACCCCACAAGAAAAGTGTTGCCAACGCCCCCTCCTACAGATGGGAAGATGGAGGATCAGAGGGACCAGGTGGCTTGTCCAAGGTTGCACAGCTTGTACGTAGTTCAAGCTAAACTCTTCCTCCTCTCCCCTGGCCAGGAAAGCGGTCATCTTAAAGCCCCTTGGACAAGGCCAAGGCTCCTGTCCTTTTCGCACACCTTCTCTGCGTGGCTTCAGGCTTGAAAGCACAGAGATGGGTTTTATGACCCTTGGATCAGAGCCCTGCCCTTCCACCGTTTCCGTGCTCACCTCCTAGAGCCCTGTGGCTCTTCCATTTTGCAGACTGCTCTCAGTGTCCGCTTTGGGCTGGGTATTGCTTGAGGGGCCAGAAAAGCCAGGTACTGCTTTTGGGAGGTTTGCAGTCTGCCCGCAGCTTCCCTCCAGGACCATCCCTGGTCACGGCCATTGACATCAAGATTCCGTGACCCCACAGCAGCCTTTGCTTCCTGACCCCTCTCCTCAGCATGTGCATCCCAGCTGTCACCGACCAGCTTCCTTTGAGTCCCCGCAATCCAGGCAGGGGACCCTTCTGCAGGTGGGCGTTCTGGGCTGGGGGCTTTGCCTGCCAGCCAAGAAACTCTGTGCCTCAGGAGGTGTGCCTAATAGCCTCCATAAATTTTCCAGGGAAACAAGTCTCTGCTGGCTTTTGTGAGCCAGGATGGGAGGGAAAGAGGGAGCAGGGAGCTCCTTATGTTGCAGCAGTGCTCTTTCCTGCATGCCTCATGCTGCTTAGTTTACAAACATCTCGACATCCGATTCTTCCCACGGCCCCACAACCGATGTGCAATGATGACCCACTTTCCAGATGCGGAAACTGAGGCCCCCTGAGCTCACATAGTGCGTGAGTAGCATCGCAGGTCTGGCAAGCCACCTCCCTTCTCTGGGCCTCCGTTTCCCTGTTGGGACACGTGGAGTTCTGCTCCTTTGGCCACTCAATGGACAGGGCGAGGACTGTGCCAGGCCCTGGGGCGAGGGGCACTGGCTGCTAACCTCACAGAGCTGAGGGCTCATTTACCCCAAGCCCGAAGCACAGCAGTGACAGGTAGCCTGGGAAGAAGCCCCGGGTGTGCTGGAGGTCAGGAGATGTGGGCTTGGGTCCTCCTCGCTCTGGGCCTCGCTACCCTCATCCGGGTAATGTCCGTGCACCACCGTCTTGCCTGGGTCCTGGGCTTTTGTGAACTTCGGGGGTGACCGCTCCGACAGTCCTGGGGGAGGGCAAAGTGGCGTCCAGACCGTGCGGGTCCAGGAGCCCCAGCCCCGGGCCGCGCACCGGCCACAGGCAAGGGGCAGGAAGGGCCCCCAGCCCCTAGGGAAACAACCTCGGTGACTCCAGGCTCTCTCTCCGGGCACCCCCACCTCTGTCTGTCTGTCTGTCTGTCTGTCTCGTGCTCTCTCTGTGCCTCTCTCTGCATCTGTCTCACTCTCCCTGCCTCTCTCTGTGTTTCTGTCTTTCTCTCCACTCCCCCCTTCCTCTCTGCAGAGACCCCTGGAGAAGCCCGATGGCCTGGACGTGTCCGACCAGAGCAAGGAGCACCCCCAGCACCTCTGCGAGAAGTGCAAGGTCCTGGGCTACTATTGTCGCCGGGTGCAGTGAGCCGGCCCCGCCGCCGCAGGAGATGCCCCTCCGTGTCCGCCCGCCTTGCCGCGTGTCCTTGTGTGCGTGGGGGCAGCCTCGCGGCCTTACGCGCCGGGCAGGGGTGTCTTACGCTCTCGTCTCGTGTGTGCTGACAGTGTTACGGACGCGGCCGCCCCCACGGAACACCGGCTCTCTGGGGCTCTCTCCAGGTGGGCCTGGGGTCTGTGTGCAGGAGACAGGGGTGAGCAGAGGTCAGCACCCAGGACCCCATAAAGCCCTTGGTGTCCCCTGCCGGCGGTCTTCCTCTGAGACTCCCTTTGGGGTGAGCAGCCTTGTATTGGCCACAAGTGCACTAAATGTACTGTGAATCCCAAAGCCTGCAGGGGACTGTCTCCCCAAGACTAGCCAGGCCTCCTTCTCTACCCAGAACCTTCCAGTTTGCCCTGTGTGCAAAGCCACTCTCAGAGAGCCCTATGTTTCTGTCCTGTCTGAGTCAGCAATCCTGGTGAGCTGACATTTGTTCTATTAGCTGCTGGGGAGTGGGCATCTCTGCCCCCTGCCCACCATGAGCCCCGAACCCCACTGCCTGTGACATCATTAACATTGCACACCCTAGACCCAGAGGTCAGGGACAGGGAGGCGCTGAATGTTGGACAGGGTTCCACGGTGTGACCTGGGGCCCATCAGACAACGCCTTCCCCCGCCCCACACCACACACTTCTCCCGCTTGGGATTGGATTTTGTCAGGCCCCTTCCCTACCCTTCTCCTTCACCCCCACCCATGCTGGGGTCTACCCCCTGATCGACGCCTTAGGGCCCGGCAGGGAAGGCCCTCGGGCAGGACGGACACAGGCCTGGTGGTCTAGAGACCTAGGTTCTTGTGCCGGTCCTGCTGCTCACACACTACGAGGCCTCGGGAAGGACTTCTCATCTCCGGCCCTCAGGGCGCCCACTGGTTAAGTGAGAGAGGGGCTCCAGGGCACACAGGCTCATTTCAGTTCTGGTGTTGTGGGGTTCATGTGGAGCTTTATCTGGAGAGGCCCACCGAGTACCACACTGCGCACGGTCACCCGTCAGTCACTTAGGATAGAGCTGAGGGATGCCGGTCCTCCCCCCGTCACCGCCTGTAACCCCTGCCCTGCCTGATGTCCCCACCCCACCCCTGCAAAAATGAGGGAGAAGGATCCCCCCCTCACACAGGGCAACCCCAATGTAAGCTACAGAACCTCTCGTTTATAAAATGGGGACAATGATTTCCTACCTCCCAAGGGAGCAGGGAGGCCTCTGGGCAAGTCACATTGGTCAGGGAGACCGCTGTCCTGGCTGGCGGGAGGGATCACGCTCGCCTCTCTCCTCTCTCCCCCATGAGAAGCCCTATTTTTACTGTCCTGTCATCCCTCCTTTCTCCCAGGGAGAGGGAGAGAGCCGGCTGGCAGGACTGGGTCACTTGATTTTGCCCTAACATTATGCCTCTGTGGAAAAAAAAAAATCAGACCATGAAATGGACCTGAAATTCAGTGTTTACCATGGCTCAAGGTCACCCAACTGGGGCCCGGTCGCCTTTTGTTTTCAAATGAAAATACTGTGTACAACTGAGGAGTTACAGTGAAGTGATAACCAGGGGTCCAGGGAGCAAGTTGAAGAGATGGCATGAGTGCGTTTGCAGCCTGGGGGAGGAGGGGTGCTGCAGGGGAGATGTCGGGGGGCTGTGCCCTCTGAGCACTTAACAAGAGGGTGTTTGCTCCAGCCTGAGCCCCGTGGCCACCTCCCTGCTGCCCAGAGGGGCAGAGTGCCCAGCAACCAACTGTGAACACCCTCGCCTCCCACCGACAATGCCACTGAGGAATCCCTCCCAGCCGTTCCAGGGACCTGGCCCCAGAGGGGGACCTTGGCCCCAGGAGGCCCGGAGCCTGCCAACCGTGCTGCGGTGGTGGGGGCAGCCCACACCCTAAAAAGAATGCAGGCTCCAGAATGCTAGAGGCCAGAGCCTTCCCCGGGCCAGTAGGAAATGGGATATCACCCCAAAGTGACCTTGTCAGTAGGCCTGTCCAGCTGGTAGCTGCCGGGCCCCCCCATCTGTGCAGAGCTGGCCGACGTGGGGGCTGGGCCCTCCTGCCCGAGGCAGCCCCTCCGCACTCCCCACCCCTGCATGGCTCTGTCTGGCTAAACATGGGAGCTCTCTGTGGGCAGCAGGAAGCGATGCTGTCCAGGCCGGGTACCGCGAGGATTAAGTGCTCAGAGGGCCCGAGAGCCCAGGAAACAAGAAAGTGTGTGGTTTGTATGTTCAAAAGGGACAATCGCCTGCAGTCAGTAGATCTAGTGATCTAGTTGAGAGATAACAGTGTTTAACCCATATGAAGTATTCGATAGTTCTACTTGTGAATTTGTATTTATTTTGAGTTATACTTGACACAGAATTCCTTTTTTTTTTTTTAAGAAAAATACTATGTGTGTATTTTGAAAAAAAATCATAGATGTTAAAATTTCTTCTGGTTACCAATTTTTCTCACGACACTGAATTTGTTACCTTCTCCCAAAAAAAATCTTCACAGTGATCTTTGTCTGTATATATTTGAGGGCCTTTTTTTTAAAAAAAGAAAAAAGAAAAATATAATTGCTCGATTTTTGAGATTAAAAAAAAACAAAGGCATTTTCAAAACTTCGGAGCTTTCAGGAGGGCACTAGAATATCAAATGAAGATTTCTGGACATATTTTTGCAAACCTTCTGGTTGAGCTGCAAGAAAATATTTATGGTGAGAACTCTCTTTTTTCCTGTTGTTGGGTTTTTTTTTGTTTCGTTTTGTTTTTGGTTTGATTTTTTACTATGCTTTGATCTGTAAAAAGTATGCAACTGAACTACATTAAGAAGGAAATATTGTCTACATAGAATATTATATGAAGTTGGTACATAATTCTGAGGAGGAAAAAAAAAATCTTTGCAATTCTTTAAGCCATATTGTTGTTATTCTGTGTTGTTTTCCTTGGATGAAAATATCAGTATTAAGTAGCCAAGCATATTATTCAAGTGCTTAGACTTATTAATATGTTCGTGTCCTGTATTTATACATATGTGTATTTTGGAAAGTATTGCTTTTTTTTAAGGGAAGCTATTATTAGATACGTAGCCAAAAAGGGAATAGTGACCCCTTTGATCCTCTTCAGCTGAGGGTAACGAACACAGCATTGTATTCCATTCTCTTGCACCTTCTTGTTCTTATCTTGTTATTATGGTTATTAACTTTGTCGGGGGGCAGGGTGTGGGCCAGGGGAGGAAGGGGCCTCGCAGTATTACGCAGCCAGCCTAGGATGACTAACCAGCCCCGCCATGGTTGTTCAGCTCCAGAGATGGCCTCCTTGGCCTGGTGGAGGGCTCGGGTCAGCCGGGCCCAGGACGGAAGAGGAAATGGGAGGCAGACTTCTCCGTGCCCCTCTTTGGGGCTTGGCCATCTGAGCCTCGCCTCTGAGCCCCATGCTCTTTGAACTAGGATGTGCCAACTAGAGCCCTTACACCTGCCCTCCAACATCTAATAGAGTTGAATCTACTCTAAGTGAATATTTAATCCAACATCACTACATTGTAGCCCAGTGCAACAACTAATCCTGAAGTTTGGGAGGCGTTCCAGCTTTCAGGGAGGTGGCTGAGCCGTCCCCCAAGGGCTGGTGGCAGAAGGGCCCATCGCCGTCTGTCGCCAACCTCGTCGTCGGATCTCCTCCGTTCCCGTGTGGTGACCCTGTCCGTGTCTGTATCTGTTAATACGTGTGTGTCCAGCTGAAAAGACAAACAGAACCCGTGGGCCCAGTTCGGAGGGTGCATGGAGAAGGCTCCCGACCTCTCCGAAGGGCTGCCCTCGGGATGGCATTCCGTTGTGTGCCTTATTCCTGGAAAATCTGTATACAGCTTGCCTATAGCAATATAGCCTTCTCATGCTGTATTAAAAGAACTTTTAAAAGCAAGAAAGGCTCATGGGTTTCCTTGTTTACACAGAGCATCAGTGGGGAGCTGGACTTCTTCACAGATTGATGAGGCCAAGTGGGGTGGGAAGGACTTCGAGCTGCCTTTCTCCTGTCCTGGGTCTGGGTCATCCAGTCCTTGCCCTGCCTCCACGCCGTTGATTTGCCTGCTCCCAGCCCCTCTGCCCCCAAGTGGACACTCTCTCCAGAGTCAGGGCCCTCCCCAACTCGGGCCCCAGACTGGGCGAGATTGTCAGCACATTAGGTCACACGTTAGCTCAGCAGTGGGACTCCCGGGTGACCATATATAGGAGTGAATCTTCCTTGGAGGCAGCAGCCCTGGGCCCCACCGCCGTGGCCACACTTGGCCCTCCTGCCAAGTCCAGGATTGGGCCTCAGACCCCGGGCATCACACAATGAGCAATCAGAAGTGTCCAGGCCTCCTGGGAAGTCCCCAGGAGAGGGAACAGAGGATCTCTCTCTTCTGAATGAGCCAGGATGAGGCCAGGCTGTCACAAGGTGGGGCTCTAGCTGAGAGCCACAGACAGGAAGTCATGGATCTCGAGAAGCCACCCACACATGGGGCCCCTTGGCCCGGGGCCAGTGCTCTGGTCACTCTCAATCTTGCTGTTCACTGGAATCGCGATGGGAGCTGTGGCCCCACCCCAGAGATTCTCGAGAACTTGGCCTGTGTCCTCAGGTCTTTAAAGCCCCCAGAGAAGTCCAATGTACAATGTCGAGAAATGTCAGGCTTTGAAACGGTCCCTCATGATCCTGTGGGGCCAATGGTGATGTCAGGGTCGGGGAAGCCGGTGGGCAGAGGTTCTGACCACACTGGCGGGGCACCCCATCCTCAGCTCCGGCCAGTTACTGCTATCTAAGAAAATACTGCTTAGATGGGGGTGGGGATGTCCTGGAAATCCAGGTGGTTATGTGAAATTTTCCAACTTTAAATTTGGCAACTAGCCTACTAAAGTTGTAAATAGTATATAGGTCAAACCATGTGTCTGTGGGCCAGCCCTTGCCTCCAGACTGCAGCCTCTGAGACAGAGCAGAGAAAAAAATGTGGATCTTTGGGATCAGGGGCCACAGTGGGGGAGGGGCGGGGAACAGGCAGGAGCAGAGTACGACTTCAGAAGCAGGGAGTGCGCCCCCTGTGTTATTTGGAGTGTCCAGTGACTCCCAGAAGCCACCAAGCCCTTCCCTGCTTGCCAGCACATTCACCCCCAGATGCCTGCCTTCATGGTGAGTGATGCGGTCGATAGGGCCAGAGTCAACCTGAACTCAGAACCAGAGCCAAGCAGGTGAGTGGAGAAGGGGACCAACCCCAGCACGGTAGGAGGAAGCGGGGATCACCTCCTCGGAGTGCCTGTTTGGCAGCCCAGGAGGGGGCGCCCTCCCCAGGAGGGATCTGCACAGATCCGGGGACCGGAACCCTGCTCTGTCAGTGTCCCTGTGCGCACAGCCCTGCCGCCCCTGGCCGTGGGAGGCTGAGCCATGCCTCCGCCTCTCTCTGAGCCCCGGCCTCCCCAGGGATAGTGTGCAGATCAGACAGGTCAGATGGCCTTGTAAGCACCAGGCCCAGTGCCTGGCTTGGCACCCGGGGGTTCCCCAGGGACGTGGCTCCATTGCTCCCATTGTCCGTGACTCAGGCAGCAACACCTTGCCAGAGATCACACAGGAAGTCAGAGGGGCAGCCAAGCCTCCCCCCCCCCCGAGGGCCCCCAGGCCCACTGACTGGCCCCGCAGGCGCTCACTGGGCACCCACTGTGCGTGGGGGCAGAGGCCGCGAGGTTAACATTCGGTTATCTGCCCTGGTGTGTCAGTGTGCTTGCGCCCATGTGTGTGTTTGGTTTTGTTTTCCGTGGAAAGAAAACAAACCCAAGGCAAACACAGCTTGCATTTCGCCATCTCCCGGAGCTGTGCAAACCAGTAATTCCCCTGGACAGGAAGGGTTTCCGGTCAGGCAGCTGGCTGCGAGGCCCCGGAGAGAGCAGAGTCCACCTCGGAAAGGGGTGTCAGGGCACCAGAGGGGACAGCCCCGCGCTGGGCCTGCCCCTGCCTCCCTGGGAGCCCGACACCGGCTCGCACCCCTCACATTTCTGATGGGCCCACGTCGAGGCCCCCAGAGGAAGGCTTGCCCGGGCTCGCCCGGCGGGCAGGTGGCAGCGGCGGGGTTTGAGCCCCGAGTTCTCAGGCCCCGTGCAGGGGTGTGGAGGCAGCACTGGGGCTGGGCCCAGGCCTTGGCGCACGGAGCCCCCTCGGTGCCTGCTCTAGACACGGGGAGGGAGGCCAAGGCCAGAGCGCTCGACCCCCGCGCCTTTCCCGTCTCAGCACCAGCGCCCACTGGGGGCCCTAGGACCCCTCGTGGGACCTAGACCAGGCTCCTAGCACCCTTCTCAGAGTGTGTGACGCTGGGCCTCCGCGTCCTTATCCGCATGCCGCGGGCAATGGTGCCACCCTGGCAGGCCGCGGCGGACACGCTCTGTGACGGCCACTTCTCGTCCCCCGGGCCTGCGCTGTGACTCCTCACACCGGGAGGCTGGGCCACGCCGCCATCCAGCCGCAGGCCCGTGTCTTCGCTGGCCCCATGGGTGCCCCGAACGGCCCCGGCAGGAGCCAGGGCAGGGAACAGTATGCCAATATGGCAGGTAGAGAAACGGAGGCCCGGGGGGAGAGGGGGCTATGATGCCCCAAACTGACAAGTGGGGTGCTCTGCTGCGCCCTCTGACCTCCACACTCGGTGCAGTTTCTGATCCTGACAGGAGACTCCCCGTGGACTCCCTTGTGGCCAGGTCTGGTGCCCTGAGCTGTGGCTGGGCCCCGCAATGAGCTGGGAGTCAGGCCCCCGCCTGCCCTCAGACACCCTGACCCCTCTCCCCTTGGCCTGGGAAACCCAGGGTCCAAACACCACCCAAGCGGCTCCCCGGCCAGGGCTGCCTTGGCCAGGCTCCCACATGGCCTCTGGGAGAGGGAGAAGGGGCAGGAGGACCTGGGACAAGGGGGGGCGGCCTGCGGGGGGAGGGCTGTCGCCTCCAAGGTCAGGCATCTGGATGTTCCCTGGGACGCTGTGCAGAGCCAGGAACAGTCTGTCCTCAGGCACAAAGGCCCCTCTAAACACACCCACTTTATCCAGAGCTGTTAGAGGCCCCGCGCTCACCTCGCCCCACCACACACGTGTTCACACACATTCACACACATGCACTCACACCCGCCCACAGACACGCCTGGCTGTGGCCCCTGGGGAGTCCCGTGGGAGTGGGGAGCCCTGGGACACCGTCTCCAGCCAGAACAGTGCTCCTGCAGTGTCCACAAGCTGGGGGGTCCCCAGGGTGGCCCCTCTCCCTGACCCCTCTGACCCAAGGGTCACTTTTAGGGAGGAGGAAACTCCAGCCAGAAGAGTCATGGACCCCATGTGAATCTGCCCATCCGCCTCCCCACGAGTCCCTCCCCAAGAGCTGGGGACCGCGGAACCCTCAGGTAGGTGGGAGAAGCCAAGCCCCAACCCTTGACCTGACACAGGGAGCGAAAGTCCATCCTTGTATCTCAGACAGTTGAGAGACAGCATCAGGGGCGTGAACACCACGTCCTCGTCTATTAGATGCTGGAGGCTGTATGGGGCCAGGTGAGACGAGGCCTGCGCTCTGGTTCTAAATCATCCAGAATACAGGATGGGCAGCATGGTGAGGTTGGCTCCCGTGAGGCATGGGTGCCTGGGGCCTGATGTCCTGCACTCTCCACTCCTGGGCAGGAGACGAGCTGCAAGGGGAGCCAGGCCGAGGGAGTGCACCGAGGCAAAGTGTCGGTGTGAGTGGGGGTGGGGGCGCGCCCCAGACATGGCCTCACCCACACCCAGAGCCCTCCACGGTCCTCTCGCCTGGCGCCAGGGCTCTCTCTGTGTCTCCAGCGCCAATGTGGCCTGGCACCTGGCAGGTTGAATGTGGAATAAATGAGTAAATAAGCTCTGGCCAGCATTCAGCGGGCCCCCTGCTGCCCCAGCCACTGAGCATGTGACTTCCATGCTTGCAAACACCCTGTGATGGGAGCTGGGTGTGAGGATGGGTACCATTTGACAGATGGGCAAGCTGAGGTTCGGGGAGGTGGAGTGACTTGTCCAAGTTCATCTGGCTACAAGAGTAGAGCCCCTCCCTGGACCCCCTCCCAGAGACATCTGTCCCCAGGGCTATGTCCAGCCCTGAAGGCCCAATGCCTGTCTCCTGCAGGTGTGTGCCCTCCCAGACAGCCAGTCAGACATCCGGGCTGGCCTGGCCTGTCCTCAGCCCCCTCACACCCGCCCAGCCTGGCCTGCCAGCCTTCCTGCAGTTGCTCAGAGCCAATAACCACGCAGTGCAGGCCCTGTGGTGTTCCTGCAGGCCGTGTGGGAGCCAGAGCCCAGGCCCAGCCCCATCACGGCCCCCAACCTGCCCGCCACCCCCTTGAAAAGTTCGGGGGGATGAGGGGGAACACTGCTTCTGCCTCCGCTGTCCCCAGGGTCAGCCAGGCCCAGCATCTGTGCCTCTTCTCCCTGCATCCTTGCTCTTCCTTCCCCCCAGAGCCGTGCACGCAGGCCAGCCACCTTCCCACATCCTGCATCTTGGTCCAGGAAGTGAAGAGTATTTTTTCCTGTCCCCATGCAGACCAAGCTGGGAGCCAAGCAGCAGTGCCCTCTACCCCCTTCTCATCGTGCCACCGCCCCCACCTCTGGTCACTCCTCTAGGTCGGGCTCGGCCTCCATGGCCCCTCCACACGCAGCTCCTGCAGCCCATGGGGCGAGTTGGGGTCCAAGTCTGGGACCATGGTACCTGCCTCGACCTCCATCTCGGCCTGCCCACCCTCATCCTGGCAGGGATTCTGGGTCAGATGGACTGGACACTGAACCACAACTTATCAGCTGTTGTCCTGAGCAAGTCACCTCCCGCTCTGAGCCCCGGTTCCCTCCGCCTTTGCCTCTTAACCCTTGAGCTCTGTGTTCTGAAACCTTCACCCTGACCAGGAGGCAGATGTGGAGCCCAGGCCTTGCTTCTGGGAAGGGACTTAGATTTGCCGGCTCTTGGGCAGTAGACCATTCTCCTCCCCTCCCCAGGCACCCACACCCTGTTAGTTCAGTGCTGACTGGGCTTCTGCCTCAGTTTCCTCCTTGGGCTGAGGCAAGAAACCTCTGCCTAGAATGTATCTCGTCCTCCTCTCCCTTGGAAACTGACCCCAGCCCCGCACCACAGTGGAGTCTGCTTCAAACCTTGTGGTCAGGCTCTCTCTTGCCTGACATCCTTGCCAGTTCAGAAGCCCCCACACCCCCCAACCGCGCCGCCCCTCAGGCCTCTTGCAACAATCGGCCGGTCCTCTGCTTCCCTCTGGTGGCAGAGTCTGAGAACAGCAACTTCCTGGGGGGAATTTTTTTCCTCCCCAAATCCAGGTTAAGTCCTGACCTCACCTGCACAGGGCTACCTGCCTCATCACCTATGAACAATATCGGCAAGTGCTAATACCTGAGTTTGATTATAAAAATAATGAATGCACGATATGAAGTGGGTATAACACAGGGAAATAGGAACTAGGATGTGAAAATACCCAGTGGCCCAAATTCCCCCAGAGAGCGCTACTGTCAGGGGTTTGGCCATATCATTCCATAGTCTTTTTGCTTCTACAAATCTGTGTGCATGTGATGTACACACACACACACACACACGTTAACAGGATTATACTTGACATGCTGTTCTGACCAGCTTTGTCTATATCGTCATCTTGCCCTGTTAACACACAGGTCTGCCTCATTTGTCTAAGAGCTGATTGTACTTCTTTGTTGAGTAATGTATCTGTCATTTCCTTATAGAAGGATTTGAAGCATTATTGTTTTTAAAAGTCAATCATTTTACCTTTTTTAAGAAGTTTTTATTTGGGGGCACCTGGGTGGCTCAGTCGGTTAAGCAACTGCCTTTGGCTCAGGTCATGATCCCAGGGTCAAGCTCCCTGCTCAGTGGGGAGTCTGCTTCTCCCTCTCTTCCCCACTCATACTGTCTCTTGCTCTCTCTCTCTCTCAAATAAAATCTTTAAAAATAAATAAATAAACATAAGAGTTTTTATTTAAATTCCAGTTAGTTAACATACAGTGTAATATTAGTTTCAGGTGTACTAAATTCGGCACTTCCATATAATACCCAGTGCTCATCACGACAATCCCCATCACTTATTTCACCCATCTTGCCACCCCCCCACACCCCGCGCTAGTAACCACCAGTTTGTTTGATATAGTTAACAGTCTGTTTCTTGGTTCCTCTTTCTTTATTTTCTTCCACTTTGCTCATTTGTTTTGTTTCTTAAATTCCACATATGAGTCAAATCATATGGTATTTGTCTTTCTCGGGCTGACATTTTGCTTAGCATAATACACTCTAGCTCTATCCATGTCCTTGCAAATGGCATGATCTCATTCTTTCTTATGGCTGAGTAATTTTCTATTATATCTATATCTATATCTATATCTATCTATATCACATCTTCTTTATCCATTCATCAGTTCTTGGGCACTTGGACTGTTTCTGTAGTTTGGCTATTGTAGATAATGCTGCTATAAACATCAGGGTGCATGTATCTCTGTGAATTAGTATTTTTGTATTCTTTGGGTAAATACCTAGTAGTACAATTTCTGGGTCATAGGGTAGTTCTAATTTTAACTTTTTGAGAAACCTCCGTACTGTTTTCCAGAGTGGCTGCACCAGCTTGCATTCCCATCAACAGTGTAAGAGGGTTCCCCTTTCTCCACATCCTTGCCAACACCTGTTGTTTCTTGTGTTGTTGATTTTAACCATCCTGACAGGTGTGAAGTGACATCCCATTGTGGCTTTGATTTGCATTTCCCTGATGATGAGTGATGTGGAGCATCTTATCATGTGTTTGTTGCCCATGTGTATGTCTTCTTTGGAAAAATGTCTATTCATGTCTTCTGCCCATTTTTAATTGGATTATTCAGTTTTGGGGTGTTGAGTTTAATAAGTTCTTTGTATATTTTGAATACTAGCCCTTTATCTGATATGTCATTTGCAAATATCTTCTCCCCTTCTGTCGGTTGTCTTTTGGTTTTGTTGTCTGTTTCCTTTGCTGTGCAAAAGCTTTATATTTTGATGTAGTCCTGACAGTTTATTTTTGCTTTTGTTTCCCTTGCCACAGGAGACCTATCTAGAAAGAAGTTGCTATGGCCGATGTCAAAAAGTTACTGTCTTCTTCTAGGATTTTTTATGGTTTCAGGTCTCACATTTGGGTCTTTAATCCATTTCGAGTTTATTTTTGTTTATGGTGCAAGAAAGTGGTCCAGTTTTCCCAACACCGTTTGTTGAAAAGACTTCTTTTTCCCATTGGATATTCTTTCCTGCTTTGTTGAAGATTAATTGAGCATATAACTGTGGGTTCATTTCTGGGTTTTCTATTCTGTTCCATTAGTCTATGTGTCTGTTTTTGTGCCAATACTGTACTGTCTTGATTGCTACAGCTTTGTAATATAGCTTGAAGTCCGGAATTGTGATGCCTCCAGCTTTGTTTTTTTTTCCGAGGTTGCTTTGGCTATTTGGGGTCTTTTGTGGTTCCATACAAATTTTAAATTTGTTATAGTTTTGCGAAAAACGGTGGTGGTATTTTGGTAGGGATTGCATTAAACGTGTAGATTGTTTTGGGCGGTATGGACATTTTAACAGTATTTGTTCTTCTGATTCATGCGCATGGAATGTCTTTCCATTTCTTTGTGTCATTTTCAATTTCTTTCATCGGTGTTTAACAGTTCTCAGAGTACAGGTCTTTCACCTCTTTGGTTAGGTTTGTTCCTAGGTATCTTATTATTTTTGATGCAATTGTAAATGGGATTGATTCCTTAATTTCGCTTTCTGCTGCTTCATTATTATGTATAGAAATGCAACAGATTTTTGTACATTGATTTTGTATCCTGCAACTTTACTGAATTCATTTATCAGTTCTGGTAGTTTTTTGGTGGAGTCTTTCAGGTTTTCTATATATAGTATCATGCCATTTGCAAATGGTGAAAGTTTGACTCCTTCCTTGTTGATTTGGATGCCTTTTATTTCTGTTGTCTGCATGCTGAGGCTAGGACTTCCAGTACTGTGTTGAATAAAAGCAGTGAGAGTGGACGGTCTCTGTCTTGTTCCTGACCATAGAGGAAAAGCTCTCAGTATTTCCCCACTGAGGATGATATTCACTGTGAGTTTTTCATAGAAAGCCTTTATGATGTGGAGGTATGTTCCCTCTCAATCTACTTTATTGAGGGTTTTTATCACGAATGGATGTTGTCCTTTGTCAAATGCTTTTTCTGCACCTATGGGGAGGATCATATGGTCCTTATCCTTTTATTAATGTGACGTACCTGTTGATTGGTCGATTTTTTTTTCTTAGTCACCTTTCTGTTTTGTGCAGCAGGAAGATCTGGGGTCAGGAGAGCCAGGGTCCAGGCTACTGTCACTGATCTCATTGCTGTGCCCCTCCAGGCCCGTTTCCCCACCTACACAGTAGGGCATCTGGCTCCATCTAGAATCCTTCGCTCTGATGATTCCTCTGAGCTGTGATCCCAGAGGCTGTCCTGGGATCATCCATACAGTTTTGGGGCTGGTGCGGGGAGGAGGCCTGGCCTAGTGGGAGCGTGGACAGTTGTGGCGAGGGACAGGCTGCAACGCTACCCGCTGCCCGGTATTGGACGGGGCTGCCTGAGGGAGAGTGAGGTCTGACCCACACTCCTCTCCTGCAGCTTGCTGAGGGCAGCTGGGCCAGCTGCTTTTTCTTGGAAGGGCCTGGGGGCATCCACAGCCACTTCCCCCGCCCTGAGCTGACTTGTATATCACCCAAGTAAGAAGGGAAAGTATTCCCCTTGTAAACAACTCAAAAAATACAGAAGATTTCAGCTTCTGGGGTCAGAGTGCCTGGAGTCACCCTCCCACTTTAAACAACTAAATCAACAGACAAAACGTGGGACACAACGGGCCCAGCTGTTGGACAGAACAGGGATTCCTGAGAAAAGGAAGCACAAGCAAATGAGGTGAGGCCTGTGGTTTGCAGAGAGTACTGCCTGGACTGAGTGTCCGGGTCACCGGGCGGGACAGGAGAAGCCACACAGCCCAGCCAGCTCCCTTACTGGAGGAGACAGACTGGGGAACTTAACGGGCAGAGGCTAGGTAGAATTTTTGAATCAGAACACTGGAAAGAAGACAGCTGCCCTGAGATTGGAAAGTGGCATGGAGAGGAGGAAGATCCCAGAGAGAGGGTCCAGACCTGTGCAGAGGGGCCCCCTCACCCAGTTAGCTGAGAACAGATAGGTGCCTACGTGTGAGGAGATGACCCAAAGCTGACCGAAGGACCACTGCCCACCCCAGAAGGAACAGGCAGAACTAAATGCCCAAAGCTCACAGGGGGACAGAAATAGTCCCCACCAGCCAGATTGAGAAACCTCATAATAAACAGGGCAGAACACTGAGAACCATATGACCTCAGAAGTGGGACAAAATTAGTCCTTCACTAACAGATGCGTTGGTCTCTTCAACAAAGCTCAAAAGCAAGCCTCAAAGGAATGAAATGATCTCCAAATAACTTATTTGCATTCCACAACAAAGCTTAAGAATATTTACAGGAACACAACCATATCCAACACATTTTAATAAGGTAACATGTCTGGCATCCATTAAAAGTTAGGCATATAAAGAAGTAGAAATAAGTAAAAGCAGACACAGAAATCACACAGATAATGGATGAGAGGACATTAAAGTAGTTATAACTCTATTCTGTATTTTTAAGAAGGTAAAGGAAAGCATGAACATGTTAAAAAGAAACATGGAAACAATATTTTTTGATACCTCAATCAAACTTCTAGTGATGAAAAAATTTTTCTGAAATTTTGGATCTCTGAAATATGAAAAATACACTGGAGATTAACAGCAAATGAAAAGAAGAAAGGATTAGTAAAACCTGCACTTCCTCTGCATTAGGCCCACCTGTCTGCCTAACCTGGCTTTAGACTGAGCATTTATTTAAGAATAAAATTGTGGTGGTGGTCTGAAAAAAGAAAGGATTAGTGAACTTGATGACATAGTCGTAGAAACTATCCAAAATGAAATACACCAATATAAAAAGACTGAAAAAAAAAAAAAAAAGAACGGGGCATCAATGAGATGTGGGCAACTCCTGTTGGGTTAATATACAAATTAGGAATCCCCAAAGGAGAGGAAGAAGAGAAAGATATATAAAGAAATAATTAATGAGAATTTTCAGGCGCCTGGGTGTCTCATTTGTTAAGCATCTGCCTTCGGCTCGGGTCATGATCTCAGGGTCCTGGGATCGAGTCCCACATCGGGCTCCTTGCTTAGCTGGAAGCCGGCTTCTCCCTCCCCCACTCCCCCTGCTTATGTTCCCTCTCTCGCTATGTCTCTCTCTGTCAAATAAATAAAATCTTTAAAAAAAAAAAAGAAAAATTTTCAAAATTTGTAAAATCTATAAACCCAAGAAGGTCAATAAACCCAACACAAGAAATATATAAAGAAAACCATGTATTACATCATAATCCAATTTGCTTAAGATCAGATAGAAAATCTTAAAAGTAGATAGAGGGAAAAGGGTACATTACATACAGAAGAACAAAGATTAAAATTGTAGCACACTTTGCATAAGGGGGAAAAAAAATCCAAGCCAGAAGACAGGGAAGCAGCATCTTTAAATTACTTAAAGGAGAAACTGTCAACCTAGAATTTTAACTCAGCAAAAATATCTCTACAAATCCCATATCTGATAAAGGACTGTGTCTAGAATATATAAAGAGCTCTTACAACTCAACAATAAAAAGACAACCCAATTTAAAAACAGAAAAAAGATCTGAGTAGACATTTCTTCAAAGAAGACATACAAATGGCCAATAAACACATGAGAAGATGCTCAATATCATTAGTGAAATCAAAACTGAAATGAGATAATACTTTATACCAACTACAATGGAGAGAATTGAAAAGATAGATAATCAGAAGTGTGGTGAGGCTGTAGAGAAACTGAAACTCTCATACACCGCTGGTGAAAATGTAAAATTTTGTAGCCACTTTGAAAAACAGTTTGGCAGTTCCTCAAAACAGTCAACATAAAATTACTATATGTTCCAGCAATTCTTACACATATGTAAAGAGGTACAATATATTTGTGGGTAATCTGTGGTGAGTTAAACTATATATTGCAACCCTAGAGAAACCACTAAAAATATAAAATGAAGAATTAAGTCTAATAAGTCAATAATGGAGATAAAATGGAATCATTTGAGAGAAAAAGCTCAATCCAAAAGAAGAAGGGAACAAAAAGCAGATGGGACAAGGAAAAAATAAATAGCATGACAGTCATTTTAAATCTAATGATATTGATAATTACATTAAATATAAGTGGTTTAAACATTTAATTGAGTGGTAGAGATTGTCAGACTGGATAAGAAAGCAAAGCTCAATGCACCACATGTGATCCTTGTCTCTTAGCTCTAAATTCTCCCTTGCCCTGTTTGTGATACTGTTAACAGTTCTCATTTGCCATCTGGAATTATATTAAACTTTATCAGTAGAGGGCGCTGGAGAGACACTTAATTCTTCAGAGTTCTCTTTCCCCTTAGTAGATAAACCCATGTTATGGTTAATAATTTTTTTTACTCAATTATAATTAACATATCATGTTATATTAGGTTCAGGTGCACAATATAGTGATTCAACAGTTCTATACATTTCTCAGTGCTCATCATGATAAGTGTACCCTTAATCCCCTTGATCTATTTCACCCATCCCCCAACCACCTCCCCTCTGGCAACCATGTTTGTTCTCTGTATTTAAGAGTCTGGTTTTTGTTTGTCTTTTTTGTTTGTTTGTTTTGTTTCTTAAATTCCACATATGAGTGAAAACTTATGGTATTTGTCTTTCTTGGACTGACTCATTTCACTTAGCCTCATACCCTCTATGTCCATCCATGTTGTTACAAATGGCAAAATCTCATTCTTTTTTATGGCTGAGTAGTATTCCATTGTATATATATACCACATCCTCTTTATTCATTCATCTAGCAATGGATACTTGGGCTGCTTCCATATCTTAGCTATTGTAAATAATGCTGCAATAAACATAGGGGTGCATATATCTTTTCAAAGTAGTGTTTTCATTTTCTTTGGATAAATAGCCAGTAGTGGAATTACTGGATCATATGGTAATTCTATTTTTAATTTTTTTTGGAACCTCCATACTGCCTTCAACAGTGGCTGCACCAGTGTGCATTTCCACCAACATACAAGAGGGTTCCCCTTTCTCCACATCCTTGCTAACACTTGTTGTTTCTTGTGTTTTTGATTTTAGCCATTCTGACAGGTGTGAAGTGATATCTCATTGTGGTTTTCATTTGCATTTCTCTGATGATTAGTGATATTGAATATCTTTTCATGTGTCTGTTGGCCATCTGTATGTCTTCATTGAAAAAATGTCTATTTAGATCCCCTGTTCGTTTTTTAATTGGATTAAGGTTTTTTGGTGTTGAGTTGTAGAAGTTCTTTATATATTTTGGATACTAACCCCTTGTTGGATACATCATTTGCAAATATCTTCTCCCACTCAGTAGGTTGCCTTTTGTTTTGTTGATGGTTTCCTTTGCTGTGCAAAAGTATTTTATTTTGGTGTAGTCCCAATAGTTTAATTTCGCTTTTGTTTCCCTTGCCTCAGGAAGAGTATCTAGAAAAATGTTTCTATAGCTGATGTCAAATTACCACCTATGTATTCTAGGAATTTTATGGTTTCAGGTTTACATTTAGGTCTTTCAACCATTTTGAGTTTATTTTTGTGTATGGTGTAAGAAAGTGGTCCAGTTTCATTCTTTGGCATGTAACTGTCCAGTTTTCCCAAGACAATTTATTAAAGAGACTGTCTTTTCCCTATTGTATATTATTGCCTCTTTTGTCATAGATTAATTGATCATAAGAGCATGGGTTTATTTCTGGAGTCTCTATTCTGTTGCACTGATCTATGTGTCTATTCTTGTGCCCGCATATAAATTTTATATTCAACCTTCCCTGTATGAATTACTGTGTTGTTTCTCTATCCTGTTTGGACCCTGACCAATATAGAATTAACACTGGCCAGTGGTCATAGGGGATAACCCCACAAAGATGGGATTTAGAGATTTGTTTGGCTGTGTCCTCAGGCTTGAAGGCAGCGCTGGACTACCTGCTAGTGGGCAGTGGAATACTAGCAATGCGTGGCATGCAGTGACATCACAATGAATCACGTTATCTCCTGTGGTTATGTGACGAGAGAGGCATGTGCCTTGGGAGGCCAGGTGGCTGCCCCACTTGATTATTACAGCAGTGATGATGACCATAAGGACTGTGATGTGGGATGAATTATTTTGAGCATGCTTGACTGTTTACCAAAAGAAAATGACAAATTCTCAGCTTAAGTTCTGGTCAAGAACCAGAGAGCTTCCATGACAACTCTGAAAAGATTCTCTCATTTCTTACAGACACTAGACTGAGATCCCTTAAAACCAAACCAACATTTAATTGTGTAGGTTGCTGAATTAAATTTCCATTCATTAAGTTCATTTAAATTCATAGTCTCCCTAAGTTTTTCATGTGAAAGGGCAAGAATGGGATCCCGAAATTTGTAATGGGGACATCTGGTTGGACCCAAATGAAACTAACAGCTTGAACCCTCATGTCATCCCATCCCCCCCTTGCGAGTGGAAATAGCTCGACTTTCTGTGTTAGAGAAGAACAGGCGTCTCTGCTTACAAACACTGTGAGCACTTCATTTGGGGCAGATGCTTTGAACAGCCATGCCCAAGACCCACCTCCACCGCTCCCATAACTAGGTCAAATCTCAGCATTTTCCAGAGGAACGAGAGGACTCCAGAGAAAACAGATCATACACCCAAAGAATTGTGAGACTTCGCTAATATATATTTTTAAGCCTATTTATTGAGCTATGGTTCACACGTCATACAATTCATCCATTTAAGGCGCACGATTCAATGGTTTTGAGTCTAGGCACAGATACATGCAACCACCAGAACAGTTCATTTCAGGAGATTTCCATCGTCCCATTAAGAAACCTCATACATTTTACCTATCACCCACTTAGCCCCCCACCGACACCGACCCCTTCAGCCTAGGTAACCACTAATCTACTTTCCGTCTCTATAGATTTTCCTGTTCTGAACATTTCATATGAATGAAATCATATAGTTTGTGGTCTCTTGTGACCGGCTTCTTTCACTGAGTATGATGTTTTCAAGCCTCACCCAGGTCGTAGCGTGGATCAGCACCTCATTCCTTCTTATAGCCAAATAATACTCCACCATGTGGATATACCACTTTTGATCCATTTGCTCATTGAGGAACATTTGGGTTGTTTCCACCTTTTGACTGTTATCAGTAATGCTCCTGTAAGCATTTGCATAAAAGTCGCTGTGTAGATGTTCATTTCTCTCTGGTGCATACCACGGAGTGGAATTGGTAGCTCTGTGTGCAGTCATCCCAGGAACTGCCAGACTGTTTTCCAAAGCAGTTGGACTATTTTACATCCTAGCATCAGCAAATAGTTTCTCCCATTGTGTGGGTTTTCACTTTCTTGTTGGTGTTCTCTGTGGCACAAACATTTTTAATTTTAATTAAAATGAAGTCTAATTTATCTGTTCTTTCTTCTGTTGATGGTCCATTGGTGTCATATCTATAATCCTTTGGCAAATCAGATACATTCCTCAGCTGTACTGACTTTACTGTTGAACTCATCCCCCGACATCTCCATTTTTGGTGTCATTTTCGGTATATATAGATATTTTTTCCTTGTAGTATCTCCGCTGGACTCTTTCTTACCATTTCTCTCTGCTAAAATTACTCCCCATCTGCTCATGCATGTTGTACATCTTTCCTACTAGTTACTTCCACATACTAATCACAGTTATTTTAATGTCCCCAGCTGGGAGGGTTATATCTGAGCCTGATTCTGTTGACGGCTTTATTTATCAACAGTGTTTTTCCCTTGAATGCTGAATGCTATTTGCACAACAGAAGAGACAGCAGGTATAGTGTGCGCTCTGGGCAGTGGGCATGCTGCTCTTTGTTTCGGGTCTGTCGTGGGGAACTAGTTGATGTAGGCAGG